TATGTATGTATAGTCACAGGATGTGGGGTACAGCATACGGAATAGTCAATGGAATTGTAACAGCTATATACAATGTCAGAGGGGCAGTCGATTGGGGGAGGGAGTTATCACTTTGTGGGGGGTGTAAATGTCTAGTACATTGTTTTGTACACCTGAAACTAATAATAATCATAATTTTTTAAAAAGGATTATCTTGAGTTTGTATGCTGGAGGGCTTCAGCTGCTCTCACCTGAGGCTTCTCCAGCTGAGTTCCGTCACATCTGAGCAGGTAAAATGTTGTCACTCTTCAGTTCTATTTCTTGGCATCAGTGCCTGGGCTGAACCTCAGGCAAAGAGAAGGTGAAGGAAGTGCTCCCCGTGCTCTCTGGCCTGGGCCCACCGGAAGTGAGCCACAGACATGGAGGGAAGAAGTGGGCCCAGGGAGGGGAATCTGAGAATCCTAGGAACCCAACACAACCGAGAGGGTTCCACCTGAGCACCAGCGGTATCCAGCATGTTCCCCTTGAGTGGATTTCCTCAGAGAGGCGCCACATCCAAGCCACTGTCCCTTCACTGTGGGGCTAGGCCGGGAACTGGTGTTCTGAGGGACAAGGCTCTATCACCAGAAGGAGAAAGGCACAGTGGGTGGGGGAGGAGGGTTCTGGAATAGAGATGGTTCCCTGAGGTTTGGCCATGGTGACGGCCACAATAATGGAAGAAAGAGACAGCCAGCAGGTGACTGCTGTAAGATCTGACAGCGGGAGGGGAAATGCCACCGGACACTCAGGGAGCCTGGGAAAGCAAGAGGGGTGTGTCAGACAGAATAACAGCCCCTCCCTGCCAAAGATGTCCACGGTCCTAATCCCTGGCACCTGTGACTATGTTGCCTTACATGGCAAAAGGGACTTCCACAGATGTGATTAAGTGAGGGATCTTGAGATTGAGGAGATGATCCTGGATTATTCAAGTGGACCCAATGCAGTCACACAAACCCTTAAAAGCTCAGAACCTTTCCCACCTGAAGTCAGAGATTCCGTTGAAGAAAAGGGACTTGAGCTGCTGTTGCTTGAAGAGGCAGAGGGCCGTGAGTCAGGGAATGTGGGCCGTGGTGTCCAGGAGCTGAGAACGACCCCCGCAGCTGACAGCCAGCAAAGAAACAGTGACCTCAGTCCTACGGTCACATGGGACTGGTCTCCACCTAAATGAGCCTGCAAGCAGACTGTCCCCAGAACCTCCGTGAGGAAGGCAGCCCAGCCAACACCTTGATTTCAAACTGGTGGGACCCAGAGCAGAGAAACCAGACAGGCCTGCTGGGCGTCTGACCTCCAGAACTGTGAGATAATGAGCTGGCGTTGTTTTCAGCCACTAAATTTGTGGTAACTTGTTTGGGCAGCGTCTGTCTCCCAGGGGGTGGGGAGGCAGCGCGAGGACTAGGCCCACTGGGGAATCAGTGTCCCCCACTGCAGGACCACAGCGGCTCCATGCCTGCCCAGCCTGTGTCCGGG